GGCAGCCCCTGGGCTTGGGGCTCACCTCACCCCCAGCAAAGACCTTGGTTCATCTTCCCACACCAGGTCCCCATGGTCACCAGTGATGCCGATGGGCTGTGATGGTCCCATGGGAGGTTTGCACTAGCAAAAGGCCTGGAGCTGCTTTCCATGTGGTCTCAGGAGGCTGGGAGCTCAAGTCCTGCTTCTCCAGCATCCAGCCCCCGTGATGCAGAGGATGGGAGACAGGATTTAAGACTCACCAGGGATGAAGCACAGTTCTTCTGCTCCTAAAAATCTGAGGAATGCTCTTCAAGGGCCGCCCACAGGAGATGCACTGGGCAGAACTCCAGCCTGGAGGTGGCTCTGCTGTGAATCACCCTTTGCAACCTCTGCTGAAGAGGAGGAGATCCGAGACAAGGTCTCCTCGTGGGAATATCAACGTCAGCCATGGCAGGGCCAGGACAAGGGGCTGGGAATGCAATGGATAGAAGAGAAACACCCCGGCTTCTAAAGCCAGGTTTTGTCAGAGAAGCAGAAGTTCCCATGTGCAGCGTATCCAGCGGCGTTACGGGCTGTCTGGGAAAGGGCTGCACATCCCTGTGGAAGGGCTGGAGCTCTTCTAGGAAAGGAAACCCACTGAAACGTTTGGTATCAGCCTTAATTCAGCAAAGCAAGACACAGGTGAGGGCCAGAAGCTGGCCGGGCCCTGGAGGACCACTCTGCACCGCTGGAGGAGGTTGTTTTCCAAAACCCTGGCCTGGGAAGTGCCAAGAGCCTGGGATATTTGGGGTCAGAAGGGTCTGAGCAGAGGGAAGGGGAATTCCTGGATTCCTCATTGAAACAACAGGGGAAGAGCTGAGGCAGGACGGGGCGAGAAGCTGTTTACATCCCTCTGGGCTTCAGCACATAGAGCACGGCCAGGGGGTCATGGGAGGTCTGCATGTCCCCGTGGTGGAAGCCAAGAGCCTTCCACCCTTTGCTTCGTGCCAGCACAATCCACACGTGCCAAGAGAGAAACTCTTTGCTGCCTGGGAATGGTCCTACCATGGAGCCCGTGGAGCACTGTGGGGTGGCCAGGGGTGTGAGCAGGGTGCCTCGGGGCAAGCAGGGCCAGCAGGAGCCTCTGGTGGTCTCTAAACCCAGGTTTAAGAGCTGTCAGGACACAGGGGGTTTGCCAGGAATGTCCTTGGCTCCGAGTTGTCCCCGAGTTACTCAAAACTGGCCAAGGAATGGAGGGAAGGAGCAGCCTGGCCCCAGCAGCCCTCTCACAGGGTACCCGAACTTCCCTCCCACTTCTCCATGCAGTGGCACATCCCCAGGGGACTTCCCTGTCCCTGGGAGCTCTCGCATGGCTTGTGCCCAACCTCCTCAGCCCCTCGGCCCGCGGACACGCCGAGGGGTGGTGGGGTGCTGGTGCCTCACTCAGTCTCCGCTCAGGAGCTGGGGTATCTGGGCAGGTTGGAGGGGACCCTGGGGCTCCTTCAGAGCCCACAGAACTATGGAGGTGTCTGCAGAGCATGATGCAGACCCCACGGCTGGAGCTGTGGGTTCGATCTCAGAGCCTTGGGGTGGCTCTGGAGACCTCTGTAGGACGTGTGGGACACACTGAGCCCCCTCAAGCAGTGATACCAGCTTGGCTTGGAGGTAGGGGTCCATAGTTATGCCTAAACCCCCTACTTCAACTAACCAAACCCAGCTTCCTACCCTTGCCAGGCAGGCCTGGGACACAGGTTCTGCTGTCTCTCTGTCTCTCAGAGGTCCAAAAGCCCCTCCATTACTCAGGAGTCGTGTGGGACCAGTGGAGCTTTGCTGGTGGGTACCCATTGTCTAAGCCAGACCCTGCCAAGAGATGAACTGGAAAACACCCTGTTGGCCACAGGAGGTCTTTATTATCCCAGCTGAGGCCGGGAGGAAAGGACAGTGTCTTGGCCTGGACTTTATCCTACAGCTCTGGGGGGATTCTGGTTGCTTTGCAAGGAGAATGGCTCCGGGTGAAGAGTCTCTGCTAGTGGCAAACCCATGTGCCAGAACGGCTCTGATGGTGGAGATGCTGGAGAGGAAGGAGGCAGGAGGTGGCTCACGGGCTCTGCTGGGCTCCAGTGCACATTGAATCATTCCTGCATTGAGTAAGTTCAGGCTTTAACCTGCCAGAGGGGAGGCTGAGATGAGCTCTGAGGCAGAAGCTCTTCCCTGGGAGGGTGCTGAGGCGCTGGCACAGGGTGCCCAGAGAAGCTGTGGCTGCCCCATCCCTGGCAGTGTTCAAGGCCAGGTTGGACACAGGGGCTTGGAGCAACCTGCTCTAGTGGAAGGTGTCCCTGCCCGAGGCAGGGGTTGGAGCTGGAGGAGCTTTAAGCTCCCTCCAACCCAATTCCATGATTCCTTTCAGCTGGGGGCTGACGGGCAGCACGTGCTCTCCAGGGCTCCAGCCTCACATCTTGTTCCTTAGCTGTGCTGAGCACATGGCTGGTGTGGTGGGTCGCCGTGTTCAGCCTCGTCATCTGTGCCCTGAGGGACAATTCCCAGGACATACCTCTGGAAATAGCTGGTCAAGACTGTCCCTTCCCTCTACAAATGCATCTCCATGTGTCCCCTCTGCCTGGGCTGGCGCAGCAGCAGCAGCCAGGCCCCGACGTGCCCCTTCCCTCCAGCTTGGGTGCGGGTCCCACATCCTTCCCTCTCCTCTCCAGCGTGTTCCCTTTTCACTTAGAAGCCTCTGTGTGAGCACACAGGGCGACCTGCTCTCACTCACCGTGAACAGCCACATCCACCCATCCCTCCCCTATAAACAGCTCTTCTCTACCCCAAAATGAGCTTGTGGAGCTTTCGGAGCGAGCAGCTCTCTCCCACCATCACATCCCCACCACCCACAGGAGATCGCAGCATCCCCTCTGCTCTGCTCCGCTCCCCCCCATCCGTGCCTGCTCCATCCCCTGCCCCATCCCTTGCTCAGCGTGGGGAGCTTGGATTCCAGGGAAGAAGTTCCCAGTCTCCTTTGCCTTTTAAGGAAGCATTGGAGTGGGTTTGAGGGTTACAAATGCTAACAAGCGATGGCAACGCTCATTTTAGTCTATTTAGAGGAAGAAGGAAGGCATTTGAGTCCATCACAACACGGGTGATTAATCAGGCAGGGACCAGGCTGTTTGCATTAGGCTTATTTTTAAAGGTCTGACACGCTGTGTAAAAATATTCCCTAAGAACTGCGCTGGCAGCAGAGGGAATGGCACGGGAAGGGGGGGAAGTATCCATGGTAAACACGCCAGCGGAGCTCCGGATGGCGAGGAGAGGCTGCAGGGCTGCTGTCTGCGGATGTGGGGGCTGTGGGGTCAGGACGCAGGGGAGGATGCATCATCCCTCCTCTCCTGCATCATCCTTCAGGAGCTGGAGCGATGTGCTTCATTCCCAGCCCCGAGGTGAGGACTCCTGCACCACCACCGGTGTCACCACGGTCGTGCCGGTCCTGCCATGGAGATGGGGTGCCGGGACACAGCAGGCAGCAGGGGGTGAAGGCACCTTCGCCCTGGGCACACACATGGCCCCACAGACGTGATCCCCTCTTTGATGGGATCCTTCCAGCGCGTCCCAGATGTGCTGGATGCACATGATCCCCCAAGTCCTTTCCCATGTCCCATTCCCTGGCTCCAGTCCCCTCCTTCCCCAGACCTGCCCCACGCTGCAGCACCTCAAATGTGGCAACACATCCGTGGATGGAGCTTCAATGAGTAGAGCACTAAGGATGTGATCACAAGACATTCCCAGCAGCTTTCCTAAGCAGGGATTTCTCTGCATCTGATTTCCCTCTCCTTTCATCTTGTTTGGAGAAATCCGTTGCCTCTTCTGAGCATGGGAGATGTTGCAGGTCCTTCCCTCCACGGTTTTAATCCCTTCCTCCAAGACCTGCTCATTCCTGGCCAAAGCTTCTGCTCTGCTTGGTCTTGGATGGGCCCAGGGTGCTTAGGGGAGACTGAGGGCTCCCCGCTGTCCAGTTCTGGGTGCTCAGGCTGGGGAGGAGAAGGCTTTTAGGGGCAGTTGATGTGGAGATGCGGCTGCTGCCTCTGGCTCAAGGCGTGCTCAGCCTGTGGGCACGAAAGGCTGAAGAGCCCTCAACGGTCTGTTCTTGCAGGCAGCTGCAGGGAGCCTCCAACCTGGGACATCCAGGGATAATCCTGGGACACCTGAGGGTGCTGAGGCACCCAGAGGAGCTGTGGCTGCCCCATCCCTGGCAGTGTTCAAGGCCAGGTTGGACACAGGGGCTTGGAGCAACCTGCTCTAGTGGAAGGTGTCTCTGCCCGGGGCATGTGGTGGAGCTTGAGGAGCTTTAAGCTCCCTTCAACCCAAACCATTCCTCAATTCCATGATTCTGTGATCCCCAAAGACCTTTAAAAGGCTCATCTGGGCGCCCCATCCCTGGTCCTTGGGGTCTGCAGCAGTGAGGGGCTGTGTGGACACGGACGGGCTCCGTAGGGCTCCGGCATCTCCCGTTGTGTCGCCTGTTTGGGTCTGTGCAGAGGAGCCAAGAACCCTCTTGACTAAATAAAGCTCTGCCCTCCCAATGGCATCTGATTGTGCGCCAGGTACAAACAGTCCCGCTCGCGCCAGGCCAGTTCTTTCCACCAGGGAACAGCCCCTGGGGCCCAGCAGAGCCAGCACATCAGCCTCTGCCCACCTCCAGCCACGGAGCGTGCAGAGCCTCCTGAGTGCCGGCCGTGGGTCTGCCCCCCGGCGCAGCACCAACCTGGCACCGCGCTGCCCCGTGGCACCTCCCTGCTGCTCCCGGGACCCTTCGTGGTGCTCTCACCAGGTTTCTATCACAAATGCTCAGCCCTCGTAGGCGCAGTCTAAGACCTCCCCAAGACCGACTGTCCTGCATCCTCCTGCACATCCCCCTGGCTCCGGAGCGGGGCCCTGTGGTTGCTCCTGTGGGACAGAGGGGCAGGGTTGGTGATGATGAGCTTGAGGTGGTGAGTCCGGAGGTCGGAGGCCTCTGTCCCTGTAACACCTTGGTGGTTTTCTCTCGGTAGGAAACCAGACTGAGTGAGAAGAACAAGGGAGCCAAGAATGAAGAAGAGAAGGGAAAGGAAACTCCTTCCAAAGACCTGGCCCGGAAACGAGACACAAAGGTGGGGAAAGACTCTAAAAAGGAAGAAAGTGTTCAAAAAACAGACCCCAAAGTTAAAGCTGAAGCTGAGACTAAGACTGAAGAGGAGAAGACTATCAATGATAAAGTCCAGGCCGTGGAGAAAAAGGTGGTGGGGAAGGACAAAAAGGAAGAAGAGAAGGGTTCAGTGTTGAAGAAGGACACGGGGAAGGACAAAAAGGAAGAAGAGAAAAGCTCAACGTTGAAGAATGATGCAGGGAAAGATAAAAAGGAGAAAGAGAAAAGCTCAACGTTGAAGGAGGATGCGGGGAAGGATAAAAAGGAGGAAGAGAAGGGCTCAGCAGCAAAGAAGGAGATGGAGAAGGATAAAAAGGAAGAAGAAAAGGCTTCAGCATTGAAGAGCACAGGGAGGGACAAAAAGGAGGAAGAGAAGAGTTCCAGATCAAAGAAACAGGCAGGAAAAGACATGGAAGGAGAAGATAAGAAAGAAAAAGACAAAAAAGAAGAGGAAAAGATTTCAGCTTTGAAAAAATCCAAGGAGGACGAGAAGGAGAAACCGCGGCCAGAGGTGGGGAAGGTGGTGGAGGAGAAAGCAGCCAAGGCAGTGGCCGAGAGCAGCCCCCCACACCAGCAGAGGCGTGGGCCGAGACCAGCCCCTCCAAGCCCACCCCCAGCAGCTCCTCGGATCAGGGCAAGGAAGACGAAGCCTCCAGCATTTTTGATGAGCTCATTGAGAAGGTGAAGAACAATGATGCTGAGGTCACCGAGGTGAACGTCAACAACTCGGACTGCATCAACAACGAGACCCTGGTGCGCTTCACCGAGGCACTGGAGTTCAACACCGTGGTCAAGCTCTTCGCCTTGGCCAACACCCGCGCTGACGACCACGTGGCCTTCGCCATCGCCATCATGCTCAAGTCCAACAAGGTGTTGACCAGCATCAACCTGGACTCCAACCACATCACGGGCAAGGGCATCCTGGCCATTTTCCGGGCGCTGCTGCAGAACAACACGCTGACGGAGCTGCGCTTCCACAACCAGCGGCACATCTGCGGCGGGAAGACAGAGATGGAGATCGCCAAGCTCCTGAAGGAGAACACCACGCTCCTGAAGCTGGGCTACCACTTCGAGCTGGCCGGCCCGCGCATGACGGTCACCAACCTGCTGAGCCGAAACATGGACAAACAGAGGCAGAAACGCCTCCAGGAGCAGAAATTAGCCCAGGAGCGGGGGGAGAAGAAAGACCTCCTGGAGGTGCCCAAGCCCGGGACTCTGC